TCGCACCCTACTAAAGGGGCATCGCACCCTACTAAAGGGGCATCGCACCCTATTAAAAGGGCATCATACACTACTAAAGGTGCATCACACCCTACTAAAAGGGCATCACACCCTATTAAAAGGGCATCATACACTACTATAGGGGCATCACACCTCACTAAAGAGGCATCACACCCTACTACAGAGGCATCACACCCTACTACAGGGGCATCACACCCTACTACAGGGGCATCACACCTAACTAAAGAGGTATCACACCCTACTAAAGGGGCATCACACCTTACTAAAGAGGCATCACACCCTACTAAAAGGTGCATCGCACCCTACTAAAGGGACATCGCACCCTACTAAAGAGGCATCCCAGCCTACTAAAGGGACATCACACCCTACTAAAGAGGCATCACATCCTACTAAAGAGGCATCACACCCTACTAAAAAGGGCATCCCATCTTACTAAAGGGGCATGACAGAAGAACAGTTCTTGCAGTCAACAACCAATTAGATTCTTTCATTCAATTCTGCAGCCCCACAGACTTGTTTTGTGATCTACCATCTAGTGGCAGTTGCCCACTTTGATGGGACTGTAAACTATCAGCTTGGCACAAGTGAAAAAAGAGAAATAATAATCAGCGCAAATACTGAAACCAAGTCCGGAACAGTCTGATAGTAGGTAACGATGGTTAGGGTGGCTTGAATTAGGGGGTCCGTATGGCACTAAGGGCAAGCTCCATGTAGTACTGTAGCAGACTGTGTGTTATGGAGAGAAGGAGAAGTGCCTCTAAGTGCAGCAGACCACTTGAATATAGTATAAAAGTAGGAACACTCACATTTAGGTAGATTAATACAGGCATGTTAAATGTAAGGTGTAAACACCAAATAGAACGGCTGTCACTGGTGCCCACTGTGTCCACATCTCGCTGGAGCAGCATGGTGGCTGGAGAGAGACAGCTGTGGAGCCAGCCGGCGCGCACGTCAGTGACCAGGATGCAATGCGACGTCTGCTGCACTTAGAGGCGCTTCTCCTACTCTCCTTATCAGCTTGGCACAACTTAGTGCAATCCGATTCACACTTCTGAGAATACTAACATTCATTCTGGGACTCTATTGTCCTGTCTCACAGGTCCTACATCTTCAATCCTAAAGCCAAACTCCAGGCACAATTGAAAAAATAACTTGCAGCAGGAACACCACCCTGCAAGGGTTATATGCTTGTTATAGCGGAACTAAATCGAACTCATTAAAAACTGCATCTCTGATCTTAAAGTATAACTAAAGGCAACATTTTTTTTTTTTAGTTTTGGATAGTGTGTGAAGGGATAATAACCCCTGTCAATTTTTATTGCTGTCTCTGCCCCCATTAGGGAGATTCACCCTCTCCCCTTGTCCCGTTTATCATGGTCATCTAAGGTGAAAGTAAAAGAAACCCCCCAAATTTTGGGTTGTCCCCATAAAAGTAATAGGGGGGAAATTTTCCAATGGGGACATTGGCCCTGTGCTGATCACATGCACTCTCCCAAGAAAAAAAAAAACAAACTCTCTAGCAATACACACTAAAACTGAGCATGTGCATATGCCTATGGTTCAGTCTGTCTTATCAGGAGATAAGAGGTGGTCGCTTGAAAAAGGGGAGGAACAGAGAAGAAAGGATCAAACATCCTTTTTACACAATGCAGAGGATTAACCCCTTAGGTTCCACAGTGAGTATAACAAGCATGCTTTACTGCATATACAGACTGATTTTACTGTTGTGGGTTTAGTAACATATTAATTTGCACAGAGTTTCTCACTTCCCGTTTTGGTCATGGGACAGGAAGTGAAGGGAAATCTACAAAATGTGACACTGATGGCATAAATTAAAATGACAGGAGTTCTAACACTCCTCATGTTATCCAAAATGAAAAAAAAAAGTTTTGCCTATAATTCTACTGTAAAAGATGTCACCCCCCACCACCAGCCAATCGGAGAGAAGAGGTCAGTGGCTGGCAAGGGATGTAACCACTGCATCACCGGAAAGTGCAGGCGAGTATATTCAGAAGTTCAGCTCTCCTTTAAATTTTTATTTAAGTAGAAAAAAAAAAAATGGACTTTACAACCTCTTTAACCACCGAAATGAGACGGAGTGGGCCTCACAGTTTTTAGTTGTATTCGAAGTTGGGCTTTAATTATATCTACAACAAAGAGGCTTTCCCAAGTCCCACATAGGAGAATAGGAGACGTCATGCAATGACAGATACCATGGTCAGATTTTATCTTTTTTAAACAAAATGTAGCAACAACTGGGTGTTGTGACAATTTTTTTACAGTCAATAAACCCTCACACTACATAGCGGCTGGTATAGAATTGCGTGTGGCCTGCAAAATAGACACAGAAATGTTATGTTGTCACTGCTCAGGCTGACGACACACGGCGATTCTGCTGCTAGAAACAAAATCGCTAAAAATGCTGCCTGCGCGTGTCTACGGAATTGTTCCATCTGTAGTCACACACAGCAAGATGCCGCTCTGCCGCGGGCCCGAATCTTAATTGTTTGTGATGGGACTTCTCAGTGCCTCAGCTACAGACAGGATGAATCCTTAAGAGACAAACAGACATCCTCTTAGCTATCCTGCCACTGGTGGTTTTGACAAATTGTCAGTGGTAGGATCGCTAGCAGCAGTCCCCCTTGTGTCATCATTTCCATCTCATACTCCTGAGTACTGGAAAGAATATGTCAATCAAAGCTCTGCTATTATGAGCAAACAGGCAGTGCAAAAAAATGACCCAGCATGCTGGAAATTGTTCCAAACACTTTATAAAACCAACAATTGTGCTGGCTTTGTTTATAGGAGGCTGAAAGCCTATACATGAACTGTCCTTCAAACTTTAGGTGTGCCAGATTGTGGCCAGGGGGAGTAGAAAAAGCCCTGGTGTCAGTGGGAGGAATAGTGCCCCATCATTGGTGTCATTGGGAGGAATAGTGCATCATCATTAGTGTCAGTGGGAGGAATAGTGCCCCATCATTGGTGTCAGTTGATAGGAATAGTGCCCCATCATTAGGTGTCAGTTGATAGGAATAGTGCCCCATAATTGGTGTCAGTGGGAGGAATAGTGCCCCATAATTGGTGTCAGTGGGAGGAATAGTGCCCCATCATTGGTGCCAGTGGGAGGAATAGTGCCCCATAATTGGTGCCAGTGGGAGGAATAGTGCCCCATCATTGGTGCCAGTGGGAGGAATAGTGCCCCATCATTGATGCCAGTGGGAGGAATAGTGCCCCATCATTGGTATCAGTGGGAGGAATAGTGCCCCATCATTGGTGCCAGTGGGAGGAATAGTGCCCCATCATTGATGCCAGTGGGAGGAATTGTGCCCCACCATTGGTGTCAGTGGGAGGAATAGTGCCTATTCATTGGTGTCAGTGGGAGAAGTAGTGCCCCAGCATTAGTGTTAGTGGGTGGCAGTAGGAGGAATAGTGCCTTAACACTGGTGTCAGCGGAAGGAATAGTGCCCCATTGTTTGCTTCAGAGGGAAGAATAGTGCCCCATCATTGGTGTCAGTGGAAGGAACAGTGCCCCATCACTGGTGTCAGTTGCAGGAACTGTCGATGACAGCAGGAGAATAATGCCTCAAGGAGCAGATAAAAGCAAGCAAAGGGCCACATCCGCCCCTGCTCCCCGGGCCACAGTTTGGAGACCACTCATTTAGATCCTTTATGCTTCTCCATTGAAGAATGAAAGATGAAGCAGACTTACATTGAGAATGTCAAGCAAATTAGAAATTCTCCCAGTTTGAATATAACCGCATCCAACTGCCTGAAGGACTCATTATGCTATGTAGCACATCAGAAATGGCAGGCTGACCGCAAGCAATGCTGAAAATAGGGAGCAGTACTTGCTATTACTGCACTGCATATAAGCAGCCCAGAGTGGCTGTGCACGGGGGACACTAAGCTGTCCATGTGAAACTAACAGCCACATTCACAGCAGACATCAGTAATATCCACCTGTCAATCAATGCCAGCCTGTAGTTAGGATAGAGAACATGCAATCCTCTGGGCTGGAAAGAGCCCATGCATTGTATTTGGTGTGTACGGGTCTGAATGTCACCAACCTGTCATATAGAAGTGAGTGCCCTCAGCGGGGGAGACTACTAATCATCTTCATTACAATGCAGTCACCATGCCAATGATCAGTACTAATGGTAATGGAACAACAGACTCTTCAGTGATTGCCAACCTGGAAGAAATAATAAACAGGAAAAACAGGCAGGGGCAGACAGCCAGGTAGCTGCAAACTAGAATGTGAGAAGGCTTTCATGCTGTTGACTTACAGACACGGATATAATTAGTTGAACATAGGCCTCAAATGTTTATCTCAGAAGACATAATAGCCGACAGTGTGTTTCATGATCCAACGGCTACAAGAAGGCTAAAGCAGCAGGCCAATTATTCTGATTGCTGAAACACTGGAGCATTTAAAGGAGAACTCCAGAAGAAGCCAAAATTGCAATCATGATTTTGCTTGGAGGTGGTGGAAAATGGGAGATATGTACATTCTATCAACTCCAGCATCTAGTGTTTGGTGTCATTATAAGTGCTGAGGATCAAATATTTGCTAATAGCACAGCATCACCTGAATGGGTGATACTCATATGTAGAGAATCTAGCGGCTCCAGTTTGGGTTTTTTTCCTGCAGTAAAAGGGAAGCCATACAGAAATGCTGGATGTTGCAGGAGTCCTGGTTTACACCAATGTGATTTGTCATGCGATTTGACAGTTCAAAAGTTGCACGGCAACTGTGGAACTGTTCATATTGTTGCGACTCAAATTGCACCAATTTTGAAAAAGTTTCCTGCACTACTTTTCTGTGATTTCATTGCAACTTGCATTGGCTTCTGTTAACCTCCTCCCACCCGCCATATAGTAAAATGACGGGCGCAAGGTGATTCGCTCGTTCTGGGAGGACGTCATATGACGTCCTCCCATTCTAACCGTGCATGCGCGGCGATCGGCGGTGAGCTGTGTCCCTCAGACACAGCAGATCACAGATCCACGGAAAGAGCCGAAGATGTCGGCTCGGTCATGTGATCAGCTTTGTCCAATCACAACGGATCACATGTAAACAGGGAAATGCCGGTTATCGGCACTTCTCTCCTCACGAGCTGTCACACTGACAGCTTGTGAGGAGAGGAGAGCCGGTAATCGGCATTCCTCGGAGGGAACATGTACACTGATCATCAGGGCACTGATGATCAGTGTGCCCTGATGATCTGTGTAGCCCCAGCAGTGCCACCTGTCAGTGTCCATCAATGCCAGCTGTCAGTGCTCATTCATGCCACCTGCCAGTGCCCAGTTTCACATTTCAGTGCCCATCAGTGCCACACCAATGCCACATATCAGTGCCCATCTGAGCTGCCTTTCAGTGTCACCCATCAATGCCAGTCAGTGCCACCTATCAATGCTGCCAATCAGTGTGCCGCCTATCAGTGCTAGTCAGTGCCATGAGTGCTGCCTTTCTGTGCCCATCAGTGATGCCTGTCAATGCCCATCAGTGCCACCTACCTGTGCCTCCTCATCAGTGCCCATCAGTGCCACCTATCAGTGTCCATCATTGCAGCCTCATTAGCACACATCAGTGGAGAAAAAATCACTTGTTTACAAAATTTTATAACAAAAACTAAGAAAAAACTTTTTTAAAAAATATTTTCAGTGGTTTTTGGTTTAAGAAAAAATAAAAAACCCAGAGGTGATTAAATACCACCAAAATAAAGCTCTATCTGTCACAAAAAAAATGATAAAAATTTCATATGGGTACAGTGTTGCATGACCGCACAATTGTCATTCAAAGTGTGACAGCGCTGAAAGCTGGAAATTGGCCTGGGCAGGAAGGGGGTATAAGTGCCCTGTAGGCTAGTGGTTAAATGAAGTTGCCAGCCAAAATGAAATTGAACATCCAAATCACACTGATCTGTGGTGTAAACTAGGGCTTAATGTCTTACTAAACCCAAAACAGTAAAATCAGTCTGTATATGCAGTAAAGCATGCTTGTTATACTCACTGTGGAACCTAAGGGGTTAATCCTCTGCACTGTGTAAAAAAGGCTGTTTGATTCTGTCTTCTCTGCCCCTCCTCTTGTTGAAATGACCACCTTATACAGACTGAACCCATGGTCACATGCACATGCTCAGTTTGGTGCGTATTGCTAGAGAAGTTTTTTTTTTCTTGGGAGGGTGCATGTGATCAGCACAGAGCCAATCAGCACTGCCCAGACAGAGGGTCAGCGGTTTCACATCCTCCTAGAGCAGAAGGAAAACTCCTACTACAAACTTTAACCAGTGCTCTGCTGAAGTCACAAGACTGTTCTAACTGCTGATGAGAAAAGGTATTTAGCAGTTTATACTTACTAAAATAATTGCATTTCCATTTTGTGTGTACTGTGGGAGACCAGATATAGTGGATGCAGGGTCCTGGGTTTAGTAACACTTTAATCTTCATATCCAGGTTTGTTAGAGTCGCATGATCCCGCAAAACAAAAACTATTCTCACACATAGGGGTCTATTTATAAAGCAGTGAAATTTATTGAAAGTAAACATTCCTAATCAATATGGTTTATGGTACAGTGTTAGACTCATCTGCAGTGTATGGCTTGGTGAATGTCACATTCAATGCTTTATTTGCTGTTGTTTCTCAGGTTCTGCAGTTACAGTAGATATTATTGGGATGGTTGAGATAGAAATAGTGCTTGCTGAAACTCTGCTTACAACAATTCTGGGTTCATGCATGGGCATCAAAAATGCGTTTGGGCTTCCCTAAATGTATTATTTATCTGATGGTGGATACAGAGGATACTGTGGGTTGCAGTGTACATGTAATGAACTGACAAGCAAGAAAGTATGCCAACGTGCAGCTAAATGTTCCAGAGACAAAGAGCCGCAGCCAAAACCCCAACACCATTAATTGTTAATAGGCCCTAGTTGCACAACACAGTAAATAACTCCAAACACAGTGAACACGCAGACTTCAGTATGTGCATACAACATGTGCCTACATTTGTGGGTTTGTGTACATGTGAGCTGCAAACCACAAAAACAGCCAGCACAGATCTGCACCCTAGTGTGGGAAAACACAGCAGGTAAGGGAGGAGGATCTGCACTGCTTTAAAGGGTTAAAAACCTGGAATATTGAGATTATTTTTATATAACGTATGAATTATTATTCCTAGAAATTTGGTGCCCTTATAAATAATTTAGTCAACAAGTATATAAAAATAAAATAACCATGAACCTGCTAAGCCTTCAATACTAGTTGGAAGACTATGGTTCAGGCCAGGCATGTCAAACTATTATGTTTTAGGCCACACACAGCCAACATACTCCCTCCAGCTAGTGGAAGACGTTTTGTTTTTTTTTAATCTTAAAGTGTTACTAAACCCACAACAATAAAATCAGTCTTATACTCACTGTGGAACCTAAAAGGGTTAATCCTCTGCACTTTGTAAAAACGCTGTTTGATCCATTCTTCTCCGTTCCTCCCCTTTTTCAAGTGACCACCTCTTCTCTCCAGATAAGACAGACTGAACCATAGGCAATTGCACATTTTGCTGCGTTTTTCATCTATTTATTTATGTTGTACATGTGGTAACACATTATATGCTAGCTGCACAAGTTCTTTAAGGGGTCCATAGCACTGAGGGTTTTCTATACACGTTGCACATGCTCAGTTTGGTGTGTATTGCTAGATTTTTTGTTTTTGTTTTTCTTGGGAGAGTGCATGTGATCAGCACAGGGCCAATCATAACTGGTCAGACAGAGATCAGGGGTTTTGCATCCTCCTAGAGCAGAAAGAAAGCTCCTCCTAAAAGCTTTAGCTAGTGCTTGTCTGGACACTGATAGGAATCACAAGACTGCTCTAACATCTGATGAGAAAAGGTATTTAGCAGTTTATATTTACTAAAATAAATGCATTTCCATGTTGTGTGTACTGTGGGAGACCAGATAGAGTGAATGCACGGTCCTGGGTTTAGTAATACTTTAATGCAGGGAATGCATTAGGGCAAAAAACCTTTTGGTTTTAACTCTTCAATCAGGCATAGAATTTGTATCCAGTGCAATCTTATTTCAGAGAAGTGCAGTACACAGGGTTTTTTCTCCCAGTCTTTTAAAATATAAGAAAATTACTTCCTTAAGCCCTGACTCTAAAGGAACTAACCCTGACTAAAGGAAAACAGGTAGGGTTTAGCTAGGACTTTACTAACTAGAACCAAACAGAAGGGGGGGGGGACAGAAGGAAACACCAAATGACACAGGTAAACAAGGTTATGGTGGTCCTAAACCAACACTAGACGTCAGCTTACACAGAAAACAATAATATCCTGATGAAATTCAATACAACTTAAAGTACATACTAGTGCAAAATGTAAAACTATACAAGCCCCCAAACTGTTCTATGCCATTACAGGTACATTAGAGTTAAAACATATGAAAAATCTGAAACAATTGCTAAAAATGAAAACTTTTTTTCTCTGGTCACATATTTCATCACCGGTAACAATATCATTGAATCTGTAGAAGTTCAAATAAACCGAGCCGGCAGTGTGACCTCAGAGGCACAATGAGCCTTCCGACACGGATACGCAAACAACAACGTGCTGGAAGTACCTCCACTTTCAGGAGGCTCGGGGCCGTCTCCTGCAGTTAGCTTTGTTATTATGGTCTGGCGACAGGTTTGCAGCCTTCCATGGAAGTAATGCAGACCCCTGCAAAGATTCCCTATACCAACCAACTCTGACGTGACTGATTTAAGCCTTGTAGCAATTCATTAGGTAAAATATGACATCAAAGTGTTGTGGAGGCATAAAGCCATTCGTGTCAATGATATCATTAGTGTCTACTAGTATGCAGATTTGTCCAGCTGACAGAATGGCAGCAGTAACCATGTATGGGTGAGCGATTCACTAATTATTCGTCTTCCTGTTAGTTCCTATTGATTGTATTTTGACGTTATAGTCAAGGTGAAAAAGCAGACTGAAAAGAGCTGCATTTCTTCCCGGCCAGAAAGCTCTGTTCCAGAGAACTTGCAGGTGCATTGTTATAAAATCCAACTCTGCACAGATCTCTAGACGATCCAGGCTCAAGGACATTGCCAACAAAGTAAATGACAGGGAGACACTGCAGATGGAAAGAAACTAGTAACATTGTTTAATCTGTGCAAATAACAACCATCCAGATAGTAAAAAGGCAGATTTGATTAGAAATGTATGTGTTAAAGATGAATCCCAGGTATGGGTATTTTATACATGGTTGCATTGGTCAAGCTTGGACCCATGTATCTATGTATATACCCTACCTGGTTGATGCCCCTGGAATTTCAACTTGCTGGAAGTACCTCCACTTTCAGGAGGCTCGGGGCCGTCTCCTGCAGTTAGCTTTGTTATTATGGTCTGGCGACAGGTTTGCAGCCTTCCATGGAAGTAATGCAGCCCCCTGCAAAGATTCCCTATACCAACCAACTCTGACGTGACTGATTTAAGCCTTGTAGCAATTCATTAGGTAAAATATGACATCAAAGTGCTGTGGAGGCATAAAGCCATTTGTGTCATTGATATCATTAGTGTCTACTGGTATGCAGATTTGTCCAGCTGACAGATTGGCAGCAGTAACCATGTATGGGTGAGCGATTCACTAATTATTCGTCTTCCTGTTAGTTCCCAGAGAACTTGCAAGTGCATTGTTATACAATCCAACTCTGCACAGATCTCTAGACTATCCAGGCTCAAGGACATTTTATACATGGTTGCATTGGTCAAGCTTGGACCCATGTATCTATGTATATACCATACCTGGTTGATGCCCCTGGAATTTCAATACTCTTCAGCTTCCAGGAGGATCCCAAAGCTATGGTATATTCATAGTTACATTGGTCCAAACTAGACCAATGTAACTATATAAAATATAGCCGTACCTGGAACTCTTCTTTAAGGCATACTTCAGCAGATTATAAGTGCCACAGTGGAAGAGCTAAAGCGGAGTTTCAATCACACTGTAAAAAAATAAATGTCAGCAGCTACAAAAACTGTAGCTGCTAACTTTTAAAAAACAGCCACTCACCTGTCCCACGATCCTGCAGTGTCCTCCCCGCAGCCCGTTTCACCAGCCATCCTGTGTACCAGGCGCTGGCATGTTCACTGTGGGCACCCGGCTGTGACAGCTTGCTGGGTGCCAACTGCACATGCGCGACTAGCGGTGTGCTTCATGAATGGCCCCATCGTCTTCTGTGACCTGTCACATGTCCCAAAAATCTACAGGGAGGGAGGGTAGGACGACAACTTCCACTTCCGATCGCGTAGGTCAGTGGTGGGCAACCTTTTTTTTCAACTGAGCCAAATCTCGCCAAAACCACGATTGAAATTTATTTTGAGAGCCACATTTTTAAAACTGAAAATACATCCCCCATATAGTAATTCATCCCCCATAGTAATTCATCCCCCCTATAGTAATTC